CTGGTCGGAGTGGCTGAGCCCTGAGAGCTAAGCTTCGGCCGTTGTCAACACTGTGTGTCCTCGCTTTGCGGTAGACACAGCTGTAGAACTGTCCGCCGAAGAGAGGCACCGCATAAGATGGCAGAGCAAAGGCGAGGTTTCGACTGTGGTCTGGTCCTCACGACTCGCCCAGCAAGAGTTTCGAGTGCAGTTCTAGAGCGGCACTGGATGTGCTGTCGCTCCTGCGGGGCTCCAGCACAGCACAGGGAAGCAGCGTAGGCTAGTGGGGACTGTCTGGGTACGTGACCCTCTGTGTGATGCGAATTCCACATTAAGACACCCACAGTCTTGTCTTCTGCATTTCTAATCAGTCGGATGGAAAGGTTCCTCTCCGTGAGTCAGTTTCTGGAGTTTCTTGCAGCACGGATGCTGATTTTTTTTTTTTTTTCATTTAAACTAGGTTGTTTCTCAAAGAGTTGAACTGTAAGCAATAAAAAGTTACCTCTTTTCATTAAAATTATTTATGAAAACTTTATTTTCGGCTTTTGGAGGCAGGATCCTGCCTCAGATGCAGCGGGGTTGCATTTTGTATAGTGGGGCATCCGTCGTGACCGGCCAGCCAGGCTTGGCATGCCGGGCAAGGAGCTGACCACCCAGGCCTACTGCAAGATGATGCTACACAGCTCTAAGTACCCGCACTGTGCCGTCAATAGGCTTCTGGTGGCCGAGGAGCAGAGGCCTCGCTCGCAAGGAGCATCCGCAGCGCTCAGGCAGCCACGTTCTTTTTGTGGACTGCATCCCACCCTTCCACGGCAAGGTGGCCACGGCACCCATGCCGGAACGGAGGTGACACTCACCCTGATGGACTCAGGGTGCAAATTCCCGGCTGTTATCAACCTAATGAGCGTGTGAAGGTGGCCTCCGGGATCACCAAGGGCTTCAGTGACGCTGCACGCAGCATGGCAGACAATGCCAAGTCCACGAAGGACTGCATAGCACCTATGAGCCAGGTGTACGAGCACCAAGAGAACAGGTGGAGATGCAGAGACCCATGCCATGTAGCACAGCTGCTCTGCCCTTAGCAGCCTTGTGCTCTTGGGTTGGGTGTGAGGCTGGCTTTTCCTGCCTGCCCTGCAGCGGCTACTGTGAAGACTGGCCAGAGGATCTTGGCTTCACTCCTGGACAGCCGCTCCTGGATGACCTTCGGAACGTCTGGATAAACCCTGGGATCAAAAAAGCAGTTCTGCACATGTGCTAGACGAGGGCCACTCCACTACAGAGAAGAGGAAAACCTGTTAAATTTAGAGGACTGGCGGGTTAGCCGGATGGGAAGCTGCTAGTCTGTGCTGTGTGCCTTGGAAGGGGGTCCAGTCAGCATCCCTCAGGGCAGGGCTGTGGAGTGGTATGGGCTGCCTAGGCTCTGGTTCTTGGTCCTGTGCTGCCCATCAAAGCTCTTTTGGAAAACGCTGCTCATCAAAGCATCCTTACCTAGCTCCGAAATCTGAATGGGGAGCGACACCTGCGTTGTATTTAGGACCAACCCCCTTACAGCTATGGCTAGCAAATAGTTCTGATGGACTCCATCTCTGGGGGCAGAACCCAGCCAGGGCCTCCCCAGTGAGGTGCCTCCCAGCCTCTGGTGGACATTTTAACCTCTTACAGCATCTACCCATCTGTCCTGGGTAAGTTTTTGTTGCTCTGATAAAGCACCACAACTACTTTAGGGAGGAAATGGTTTATTTCACCTTATGATTATCAGATCAAAGGGCAGGAACCGAAGCAGAGGCCATGGAGGAGCTGCCTACTGGCTTGTTCTCCTCCATGGCTTGCTCAGCCTGCTTTCATACAGGGCTCAGGACCACCTGCCCAGGGGTGACACTGCTCACAATTGTGCTCGTCCATAATCTAATGGCACCGGTTCCTCAAGTGATGTTCCCTCTTCCCAGATGACTACACTAGTTTATGTCAACTTGACAAAAACCAACCAGCAATGTGTTAGGGTCCTCCAAACTGATAGAACGGGTGTGTTTGTGTGTGTGTGTGTGTGTGTGTGTGTGTGTGTACAGCAGGATTTATTAGTCACAGGTTATGGTCTAATGATGGATAATCCAAGAATCCAGTCCACAGTTTAGTCCACAAGTCTGGATGTCTCTGCTGGTCTTAAGTATTTGCTGAAATTACAAAGTAGGCTCTAATGCCATGGAAAGAGTGAACTTGCCGGTGAGAGCAAAGGTAAACAAGCAACAAGCCAAAGCTTCCTTCTTCCATGTTCTTTATATAGGCTGCCACCACAAGGTGGGTTTTTCCAGCTCGAATGATACAATGAGAAACACCCCTCCTAGGTGTAACCAGCAGTTTGGGGTTAGTAAGTTCTAGGTGTAATCAAGCTGACAACTGAGAATAGTCATCACCATCAGACAGTTGACCTTTGTCAACTTGACACGCAAACACGGCACTGTTAAGCCATAACCTTTTCTCTCTTGTTTATTTCCAAGTTGATTTTGGTCAGTGTTTTAGCATAACAATAGGAGCACTAAGACACCCCCAGAAAGTGTACATGTAGCACAAACTATCACTGTAAAGGATCTGTAAGATTTCCCCGTAAGGCAATGATGAAAAGATAGGCCTGTCTCACCTGCTTTAAATGTGCGGCAGACACCACACATGTATGGGAATGGGGCCTATTATAGGATTTTTTTTATCAGTTTAACATTTTTTCAGTGAATTTTCCATGTAATTTTTTTGGGTTTTTTGGGAGGGGTTGAGGTATGGAGTGGGGGGCGTTGTCTTGTTTTGCCTGGTCTTGGCTGGTCTGGAACTTGATGTGTAGACCAGGCTAGCCCTGAACTAAAGGATCTACCTACTTCTGCTTCCTAGGTGCTGCGGTTAAAGGAATTTCTCACCTCTAGAATTGCCTTTAAGAATTAAGGGTACTAAACCAGGCAGGCATGGTAGTGCTTATTTTCGATCTCAGCACTCTAAAGGCATGTGCAGGCAGATGTTAAATCAGGCCAGCTTGGCTCCTGGAAATCCAGGGCTATATGGAAACACACACACACACACACACACACACAAAAAAAAAAAAAAAAAAAAAAAAAAACAGGATACTGGCCAGGCATCCTAGAGCTCAGGTTGAGACAGTAGAATTGCCACAAGAGGAGGCCAGCCTGGGCTACATTCTGAGGCTAGAATGAGGACCTGTAAAAAAAAAAAACAAACCAGGAAATAATACTAAAGGATACTAATATGATAAAACAGACAGTCGCCTTATCAAAAACAAAGTGGTACACTGCTTAGGGAAAGCTGAGCCCTGACTTAGGGAGGTGTGGGTGTTTCCCTAATCCGAGTGTGCCCAGCCCATGACATAGTAAGCAGCTTCGAAGTTCTGGGAAGGTCTTCGGTGAACCAGCAAAATGGTTCAGCAGAAAAAGGCACCTTTCAAGCCTGGCAGCCTGAGTTTGTACCTGGAACCTTCAGGCTAGGAATGTACACGCTGTCCTCTGACCTCCATGTGTGCACATATAAAAATAAATGTTATTTTTAAAGCCTTTGCAAAAATTTTTATTTTCATAAACATTTTTCCACTTTTTTTCTGTAGTGTTATTCAGAATTCTGTTTGATATAATGTCGGAAACAAGAAGATGGGGTTGTTTTAAGTGTCTTCGTATAATAGAGATGTTTATTAAAATTCTAGCTATAAGGCCAGCTATGAGGCTCAGCAGGGAAAGGCAGTTACTACCAAGCCTGATGACCTGTGTGCAATCCCCAGGACCCCCCTACATATGCACGGAGTGACACGTGTGCCCATGCGCATACAGATAAGTAAATAAAATGTAATCTTTAAGTGGTTGATTATCCATCATCAGAGAGGCGTCCTCCCAGAGCGGATGCAGAGGCCCACACCCAAATATTAGGTGGAGCCTGAGGAACTGTGGGAGGAGAGGAAGGATTGTAGAAGCCAGAGGGGTCAAGGACACTGAAAATACAGCCCACAGAATCAACTCAGTGGAGCTCATAGGTGCTCACAGAGAGTGAAGCAGCAATCGTGGACAGGTCTGCTCTGGGCCCTCTGCATACATACTGTGGTTGTTTAGCTTGGGGTGTCTGTGGGGCTCCCAGCAGTGGGAGTGGGTATATCTTTGACTCTTTTGCCTGCTCTTGGGACCTTTTTCCTCCCACTGTGTTGCCTCGTCCAGCGTTGACATGAGTGTCTGTGCCTAGTCTTATTGCATCTTTGTTGTGCCATGTTTGACTGAAATCCCTATGAGGCCTGCTCTTTTCTGAAGGGAAATGGAAGAGCAGTGAATCTGGAGGGGAGGTGGGGGAGAGCAAACCAGAAAGAGTGGAGGGGGGAGAGGCTGTGCTGAGCAAGTATTGTATGAGAGGAGAATAATTGAATATCCTAGCGAAATGTGATTTGAAGTTGTATGTTATTTTAAAATCATAACTATGACAACATGATATAATATTAGGTGGGCTTTATTGCTGTGGTGGTGAGTTTGTTTAATTTCAAAATATTTCCATGGTATAGGAAGGCATTTGATAAAACTCTTCTTGCTTATGGGGTTTAAATCCAAACTCATTGTCATGGTTAGTGTTGATTATCGACTTGACCAGACGTCCAGGAGACAGGCTTCCAGGACCAGCTTGTGCACAGCCACGTAGCCTCCAGGCAAGCCTGTGAGAGACTATGCTGATCAAGTTCATTGAAATGGGAAGAGCAGCTGGTGATGGCCTGGGCAGGGGCCCTGGAGTGTATAAAGAGGAGGGAAAGAGCGGTGTGTGAACCTGCGTTGCTCTCTGCTTCCTGACTGATGCAGCGGGACCAGCTGCCTCAGTGACTCTCGCCATGGTGGAATGTAGTCCTAAACTGAGAGCCAAACGAAACCTTCTCTTCCTTAGCCCGCTTTTTGTCAGGGTGTCCTCTTGCAGCATCAAGAAAAATAAGATCTATTTTAGCAACGGTACTGTCTGAGATGGTGTTTTTGTTCGCTGGTGTTAACTTCTGACTTCTCTTACAGGTATTCAGGAAGGAGCACAGTGTACCAAATGTAAAAATAACTGGACGCTGAAGTTTTCCATCATTTTATTATACATTTTGTGTGCCTTGCTGACCATCACAGTAGCCATTTTAGGATATAAAGGTAAGCACTGTTGTTGGTTTTTTCCTTCCAAATAGCAAGGGGGGTTGAAATCTAAACACAGAAAAATCATCTTTGGAAGCATAAAGAACAGCTGACTGTAATCTGTAGACAATTAGTTTTAGGGCCATGGGTGCCTCCAGGGACCTGGAAGTCTTTGGATGCTACCATCCTTCGTGCAGGGCTCGCACATGCAGCCTGCGTGCGCCCTCCCGTAGACTTTATCTCATTTCCTGATGGTTTATAGTACCTAACCCAAGGTAAATGCTGTGTGGACAGTTGCTGTACTATATTATTTAGAAAATAATGACAAAAACAAGTTATGTGTGTTCAATACCCATACATTTTTTCCCAGATATTTTCGTTGAGAGGACCTGGAGCCTGGGAAGGACAATTGAATTACATTTATGACATTCTAGTGTAAGATTCACTAACCTCATGAACTCCGTCTTTGTGTTTTGAGATCTTAGCTGTGGCATGGATTCACTTGATAATCGTGTCAGCCCTTTATGAGTTAGAAAGATCTTCCTCCTCTTTGTTGCTTTCCCCACCTTTTCCCAGTCATTCCCTCTTTCTCTTCTTTTCATCTTCTCTGACTCTAAGAGGTTCTGTGAAAACCTCAGTTATCAGCCAGGGAAATGCCCCTGGCAGAGGACACTAAGCAATGCACAGGCTCTGCAGAGACATGATTCCCCACCCAGGGATCTACTGATGGCTCTTTTCCTTTTCTCTCCGTATGTGTCTCCATCAAGACACTGCCCCATAAAAATTAAACTCACAGGTGGCAGCAGCTCCTCCATTTGCTTAATAAAACGTTAGGCTGAGTGTGTTTGATTAAGATAAAGGAGATTTTCCCTCTGAATCCTCCAGACTTCCAGACTTGCTAAACTTCTTACACACACACGTACATACACCCTGCTCTACCGTTTCCTCTCAGACACCACAGGTAGGTGTCATGATTCAGAAGCACAAACTATGTAAGCCCTTGTGCAGAAATCAGATATGGAAGCCTTCCCTATCACAGTTACATAAAACAGACACAGTGCCTGGCTGTAGCAGAGGCAGCCTCATCTCCCCACCATTCTCTTGTTGGTAATCACCCTGGCTGCTGTCCGACCTCAGACCTAACAGATTAACCAAGTGGAATTACTGCACCTTGCCCCTTAACTCACGGTGCCAGTTTAGGAAGAAAAAGTCTGAGAGTGAATTCCCTCCTACTGTAAATCCTCGCATCCTCTCCAGGTAGCTTCTGGAGAATACAGTGCATCTGAATTTAAAATGACTTAGAAAACAGATGCTCCAAATTCATCATGATCCTACCTATTTTAATACGATTATGAATGCCCAGTAAGTGTCTGTCACTGTACCAGTCATTGTGTTAGCCCTGCCCTATTTAGTGCCACAGTCCAGATGATTGTGTGATTTTTGTAAAGAAATGACGATCATGCCACTTTTCAAGGTAGTTGGGATGAGCAAAGATGTTGATCTAGAGTCGAGCTACAGCATCTCTCTTTCCTTGATTGCTCACTGTGTTTATTCTTACTAAGCAATGCACAGGCTCTGCAGAGACATGATTCCCCCACCCAGGGATCTACTGATGGGTGCGCTTTTCTTTTTCTCTACATATGTGTTTCCATTTACCTGTAGAAAATTAAATGTATCATAAAGAGTGCATTGATTGATGAGTTGGGGTGAAGAGAATTTAGAAAATTGCCTGGTCATTTTATTCATTTGTGACGACGAATGTATTTAATCTGTAGAGACCTAAATTTTTTCATGAAGGAGCAAACAGAGACTGCGGTTAAGAGAGGCTAATGAATCATGATGAGGGCTAGAGTTCTGACCTCTTCTTTCCTGGACCAATGAAAGATGGTTGAAAACAGTCATTCAGTAAGGGGTGTCAGGGCTCAGTGCAGAGGAACAGCATGGGAATTAAAATTTAGTGCTGGAAGAGAGAGCGGAGGGGCGTAGTGGATACATTGTGTTAACTTTACCTCTGAAAGCCCAAGTCTGCAGCTGTCTTGTCAGTCCGCCTCCCTACACACTGGCACAGCTCTAGCAAGTCCACATGCTGGACCACTGGCCTGTGGTCCCTGCACTGTATTGCCCCTAAAGGACCTCTCCTTAGCTGTCATGTTTCTGAATCGTGTCTCACCGGAAGCTCCTGCGTGGAGCCTCCTACTTGTTCTCAGTGTTCTTCACTGTAGCCCCTGATAAACCATGCATTTATAGCTAGTATGTCTGGCTTGTTTGGCTTAACACCCAAACTATAGGAGTCTATGAAAACTGTCTTTGACTTAGGGAATCTCCCACTAATTTATGTATTAGGTACCCAGAAAAGTTAGCTACATGAGTGGGTGGGTGAGTGGATGGATGGCTGGACAGACAGTAGATTGGGACTAGTTTCTATGACTATAAAGAACACATGCCCAGGTTTCTCCCAGACACCTAACCTGGAGATCAACTTAGCCTGCCCTGAGGGTATAATCTTACCAGGGTGAAGGGAGAAGAGATCTGGGGAGCAGGTGACAGCTTGCTACTCTTTTCCCTTCCTCAGTGCCTCCATTCCTCTGGCTTCCGCTGATGAAAAGAAGGTAATGCAGTGTGTACTTCTGGTCTTCAAACCCAGCCTTAGTGAACTCAAAGCTGACATTTTCCAGATATACTTTCTCTGTACAGGATGTGATTCCTCTTTCTTACTGATAAGACTCTGGTGACCCCAATGTTGTAGGAGGCAGAGAGATAAGCCCCAGTCCTCCTTTCGCAACACACACACACACACACACACACACACTTTGGATGGCTAGAAAAGCCCTTCTCCATTAAATGAAAGAAGAAAAATATGCAGTGAAAATAGTCCAAGAAGGTGTCTTTCTGAGGATGATGAAAGGAAACAAAACGTCTTAGTCAGGGCTGGCAAAGGCTGTGTCTGCACTATATTCCTCAAAATTGTTCTTTGCTTCTCCTTTTATGTTACTTCCGTAGCTATGCGTTAGAATCTAATGAAGTTTAATGTAGGGAATATGCTGAGCAAGCTAGAGGACCACTTAGTCGCTCAGACGCAGTCTGTACAGTGGCTATGACCTCGAGACACACTGCTCAGGTTGTGGAAACGTTTTTGGACAGTTGCAACTTGATACATTCTCCATGCTAGACTCTTTTTTTTATTAGTCAGTGAGTCTACATGAAGCTCTTCTTGTTCCTCCCAGAACATTCCCTAACCATGAAAATCCCACCCAGCAGGCCCTTCTTAATATGCGTAGACTGAGGAAGGGCACAATCGGAATCAGCAAGTCTTGGCCTTTGTCTGACACCTGGCTGCTAAACTGTCAGCATAGGGAGGACAACAGCGGATGCTTGGACACATCAAAGCCCTTTAGAACTTGGAGTGACGGGGCTGGAGAGATAGCTCAGCAGTTAAGAGCACTGTCTGCTCTTCTAGGGGTCATGAGTTAAGTTCCCTGTGACCACATGGTGGCTCACAACCATCTATAATGTGAACTGATTCCCTCTTTTGGCATGCAGGTATAAATGCAGATAGAACACTCGTATACATAAAATAAATATTTTTAAAAAAAAAAAAAAGCTGTTTTAAAAAAAGAGAGAGAACTTGGAGTGACGCCTTCCAGACTGTCTGTTTCTCAGTAATGAATCCTGAGATAGTGTTCATGGTAGAAATGTCTTTGATGCATTCCAAGGTTGTGTAACTGCTGATAGCAGAATTCCTAGGAACTGGTAAGAGAGAGCCTTTCCCTGTGTCTTGATTTGTCAGTATGGCACAAGCATTTTAAGCAGCAGGTGGGAGCTCTATCTCTGGACTTGTTCCCTGCCCTCAGGGAGGCGCCATGACCTGTCTCTTTATTATGGCAGAGACATAATAAATATCTGTTGATGGTAACTTTAAAGAAAATAGAATGAAGCCGTGACTATGTCCCCCTTTAGGGATTTTCCTTAATTAGAGAAAATCAGATTGAAGAAAAGAAATAGTAAAGAAAAATCTATGTGGGGTTGAAGAAGACATGGATTTAGAGTTTCAACTTCTAGCCTGATGTCTCATTCAGTCTCTTCCGAGCTGTGTGATTCTGGGATGTTCTTGACTAGCTCTAAAACTCCCTTTTCTCCTCTGTAAAGTAGAAGTAATAGGAACTGACTGCCATGCTGGTGCAGCATGCAGAGCACAAACGAGGGATTTTTCTTATCATTTCCTATCATAAAAACAAAGAGGCTGCTGTTATTGTCACTCAGAGATTCAGTCGGTGTGTTCCAGACTCAGGTGAGAGACAATGCTTAATGCCAGGGGGTAGACCTGAAGAAATGAGTGGAGCCAAGCATGGTGGCACACACCTGTAATCCCAGCACTCTGGGAGGCAGAGGCAGAGGCAGGCAGATCTCTGTGAGTTTGAGACCAGCCTGGTCTACAAAGAGAGTCCAGGACAGCCAAGGCTACACAGGGAAACTCTGTGTCCAAAAAAAGGAAGGAAAGAAGGGAAGGAAGGAAGGAAGGAAGGAAGGAAGGAAGGAAGGAAGGAAGGAAGGAAGGAAGGAAGGAAGGAGAAGAAAAGAAAAGAAGGAAGGAGAAGGAGAGAGAGAGGAAAGAAATGAGTAGAAACAAAACAGGTGAGGAAGAGGTTAGTGTCCGGCCCAGGGATAGAGCCGAGGTGGAACGGTACTCCCATGCTTGGATGCCTGAAGAAGGGCAGGTCTTCAGGGAATCTTACTGAAACCCTACTGATGAAATTTTTTTTCTGATGAAAAGAATTCTACACCAGAAAACAGTTTCAAATTGAAGGGCCTCACGGATAGCCGGAATGCTGGTGCCCGCTCTGCGCTGCCTCTTTGTTTTTGTTGAGGAAAATGGTCTAGAAACAGATCTGTATAGACTTGGAATTGCCTGTGAGACAGGAAGCTCGGCCATTATGCTTCTGGTTGAAGATCTGTGCTATAAATTAGGGGAAAACTGAGGAGGATGCTGTGTGCTAGTGCAGTGTTAGTTCTGGATTCCTGTCAGCTCGGGTTTTTTAGACCCTTGCACACTGCCAGCGTCTCAGCCCTCCAGTTTACAGCTTCATACCAGGGTGCTATTTTTAAACACAGACACACACGCATGGGGCTGGTTCATTAACACTTGTGGGCAAGACACATCATTTCCTTTCCTCGTGGAAAGCAAAACTAGCAGTTGCTCTGTTATTCTTCTTTTTTAAAAGTGAGAGCATTATTCCTTTTATTCTAAGAGCACTGGAATTATCTGTCCACAACAGTTATGTGTTTTCATAAACTAAAATGGAAGAAAAATGAGGGAGAGTGGAAAACAACCAACTGTCAACATATTTCAGATTTCTTTGGCCTCCAGGAAAGAGCCAGGACTTGAGATGCTGTGTGTGGTTTGAGGACAGAATGAGACATATGTTTTCATCTCAGAGTCAAAACTGAGTCTAAGCTTTTAAACAGGTTTTTTTTTTTTTTAAATTTAGCCTTGGTAAATGCATAAAATATATTTAGTTCTACAAAATCCCAGGGATCAGGAGCATGTGTGCCTATCACACAGCCCCGGGGTCCAAGTTAGAACTGAATCTCTGTGTCCACATAGTAAATTTTTGTTTTTAATTATAGATACACACATATATATATGTATATGGGTGGGTGGATTATGTGCACATGTGTGCAGTACCCATAGAGACCAGAAGAGGGTGTCAGATTCCCCGGAGCTGAAGTTAGAAGCAGCTGTGAGCCACTTACCATAGGTGCTGAGATCTGAATCCTGGTCCTCTGCAGGAGCAGTGCTCAGGCCTAACAATTGAGCCAGCTCTCCAGCTCCTGTGTGGCAATTTTAGAAATAATAGTAATAATAATTCAACAAAACGTCATACTGAGCCGATGCTGAGGCATCCCTGGCTGGTTGGTTTATAGATCGGCCTCTATAACCTATAGCTCGTCTAGGTTTCCTAGACCTCAGCAAATTCTCACTTTTTAAAATAAATGTCATAGTAACTATATATTACACACCGCACAATGAGCTAAGAGCTGGAGAAGTGGCTGCAGATGGTCTTCAAGTTACCATAGTTTGTCACCTTAGAGAGTATAAGGCAATACACACTCAATAAAAACACCCTTTGAATTTTGTTTGTTTCCCGCCTAGTGTTGTGTATTATGCTCCTCCATGACTTAAATCAGTTAAAAACAAAAACAAACACAGCGAAGAAGAACACATGGAAAAGCTCAAAAGAGAAAGAGTGTTGAGGGCAGTGTATTTTAAACACTTGATGGAAAGCAGTGTAGGCTTCTCCAGGGGTCAGTTCCAAGATCCAAGGAGCCAGTTTGGTTTTAGGGTCACATATGGTGTGATTCTTGAGAGGAGTCAGGAGAATATTCCCATACAGTGATGCATGGATAGAACATATTTTAGGTAGCAAGACCTGGGCCATTGAGCTCACAAGTAGTATGCAAAACATACCTGCTTCTAAAGTAGCCTCTCTCTCTCTGTGACTCTCTCTGTGTTTCTCTGTGTGTCTCTCTTTCTCCGTGTATGTCTCTGTCTCTTTTTCTCGCTCATTGTCTCTGTGTGTGTGTGTGTTCCTCTCTCTCTTTCTCCTCTCCTCCCTCTCTTGAGACAGGGTTTCTCTGTGTAGCTCTGGCTGTCCTGGAACTCACTCTGATAACAAAGACACTCATAACCTGAGTATGTTGACTTATGCCCATAGTTCCAGCTACTCAGAAGGCTGAGGCAGAAGTATTAACTACACTTTTTACTTAGGATTTATCGGACATAATTCCATCATAAGTTAAATACCTCTAAAGAATCTCCTAGTAAACAAGCCATGACCTAGCACAATGTGTAGGTCCTGGAATAAGGAGAAGACTACTGTCTTAGGGACTTCTCCAAGGTGCAGCTTCGTTGATGACCAGTCCAGGCAACATAGTGAGCCATCATCTCTAAAACAAACTTACATCTTACACACACGCACACGCACATGCACACGCACACACGTATAGCAGCCAGACCTCTTGATGCCAAGCTGATGGAGGATGGGGTGTATGGGTGTCACGGAAGTCACTTCTAGAGAAATAGTCTATTAGTCATTTAGAAAGAAATATGAACCCTGACCATAAAGAATGACTGTCTCCTGAGAACTGAGAAGTGAAGCCTCATTCAACTGCATCACTTCCCTGCTGTAGAATCAAGCAAATGTTAAAACAGACAAACAAACAAACCTGCTAAATCATTGAATCATCATCTAGACATCTCCTTGGGAATTAACAAGCTATAGATTACTGTCGGTAATGAAAATAGGTTTTAGGCCTCGGGGTGGAACTTAGTAGCAAATGTGATTGGCGGGGTGGACTTCCAGTCTCAGCATCTTTGTGTGTACATCTGAGCCCAGTATTCTTTTATTCATTCGTCCGTTTGTTTACTCGCTTATTTATCTGTCGAAAACATGTTGTCAATATGTAGCCCTGGCTGCCCTGGAATTTGCTGTGTACGCCAGGCTGGCCTCCAGCTCACAGCGCTCTGCCCGCCTCCGCCTCCCGGTGCTCAGGTTAAAGGATTGAGCCCCCACATCCAGTGGGCTTGTTCTGCCAGTGGAGTTCACACCTGCAGAGACCATCAGGAGGCTGGAAAGTTATAGAATTTGATGAGTAATTACAGAGCTGTGTGTCTCCACGTGTAAAATGGACAGAGGGGTTACACAGGGGATTTGATACAGAACAGAGGACTCTAGCACATCAAAATTAGTCCAAACACGTTAAAGCTCCTAAGATACTAAGGGATCAAAAAAACAGTTACAGATAAATGATTCTTTTTACCAGGTAGGTTGTATCGCTGGGTTTTTGACCAGTTATTTTTCTGAAGAACAGCTTCCTCCATATTGGATCCCACCTTGGTATTTCAAATCTGCTTTCTTCTATAATGAAGTTAGCTCATATTGAAACCAAAAACCAGACACGAACAGATAAGCCGACTGATGCGTTCTTTTCCCAAATCTTAGTTGTAGAGAAAATGGACAATGTCACGGGTGGCATGGAGACATCTCGCCAGACTTACAACGACAAGCTCACTGCAGTGGAGAGTGACCTGAAAAAATTAGGTAAGCTGTGTCAAGAGTGAGCCACTGAGCGGGGGGAGCTCCCCTGCGCAGCCTCTATGCGCGGCGACAGTTTTTCAGAGCGGTCATGTACTTGGAGTTGATGCATTCTGTGTCTTTCCTGGCCGTTTAATTTAAACGCTTCTGTTTTTAAAGGGAAGGGCTCCCCCCCTAAAACCTGCACCCTACTCATGCCTGAGCAGGGCCAGTAAGTAGCCTCTATCAAAGGCACTCTGGTCAACTACTCAGTCAATTCTGATCTGAACTATTTTTAAATTGCATGGACACGTGGCTGGGAGTTCATCCCGTGTGTAGAACAGGCAGTCCTCCCACTCAGAGGTCCTCCTGCCTCTGCCTCTGCCTCCGGAAAGCTGCGGTTCCTCTCGACCCAGCAGAGTTCACTTTAAAGCTTCCAGCCTGTTTAACTTGTTAGTGTTTGTTTTCACTTACTTAAAAAGTGAATTTTGGTTCAAATGATATATTAAGATTTATGAACATGATTCCGCTTTTGAAAATTGCCAGGAATTTCTAGCATTCAAATTATTAAATAACCACTGAGTGAAAGAATTTTGCATTGCAAAATCTTTTAAGATGAACTTTGTGACAGTTTTAATCCTAGTATAGTTCATCATTTTTATTGACAGTAAAAAAAAAAAAAAAAAAAAAAAGAATCCTGATAAATTTGTAAAGTTAATTTCTTAAAAGTACACCCTGCCTGGTGGTATCCCAGCATCTGAGAAATCCCCCTCTGTCTTAAAAACAAACAAACAAAAAAATGTCCACCCAAGTTTGTAAGTCCTCTGCTGAACACCTCGGCTGACTCTGCAGAGCCCATCTTAAATAGATATAGATTCATAGAACACATCTATGCTGCGTGGACCACAAACTTTACATCTAAAATACAGTACTACCAGTGAAGTATATGGGATCTTTTCTTAAATGACATTTATTTATTTGTTTGTTTTTATTTATTCACTGGGGAGGCATACACAAGCCACAGCATGTGTATAGAGGTCAGAGGACAAATAGCTTATCAGAGTATGTTCTCTTCTTCCACTGTGTAAGTTCAGGAATTGAACTCAGGTTGTCAGGTCTGGCAGTAAATGCCTTTATTCACTGAACCCATATTTACTCTCTGGCCCATATCTGGGTCTCTGGCCTGCACATCTCTATATATCCAGTCTAAGTAATAAACATCTCTTATTCCAGGGGACCAAACTGGGAAGAAGGCTATAAGCACCAACTCAGAACTTTCTACCTTCAGATCAGATATACTGGATCTCCGTCAACAACTTCAGGAAATCACAGAAAAAACCAGCAAGAACAAAGATACGCTGGAGAAGTTACAGGCCAGTGGGGATTCACTGGTGGACAGGCAGAGTCAACTGAAAGAAACTCTGCAGAATAATTCTTTCCTCATCACCGCTGTCAACAAAACTCTGCAGGCATATAACGGCTATGTCACAAATCTGCAGCAAGATACCAGTGCGCTCCAGGGCAATCTGCAGAGCCAAATGCACTCCCAGAATGTGGTTATCATGAGCCTCAACAACCTGAACCTCACCCAGCTTCAGCAGAGGAATCTTATCACAAATCTGCAGAGGTCTGTGGATGACACGAGCCAGGCTATCCAGCGAATTAAGAATGACTTCCAAAATCTGCAGCAGGTTTTCCTTCAAGCCAAGAAGGACACCGATTGGCTAAAGGAGAAAATACAGAACTTGCAGACATTAGCTGCCAACAACTCTGCTCTGGCCAAAGCCAACAATGACACGCTGGAGGATATGAGTAGCCAGCTCAGCTCATTCACAGGTCAGATGGACAACATCACCACTGTCTCACAGGCCAATGAGCAGAGCCTGAAAGACCTCCAGGACTTACACAAGGATGCAGAAAACAGGACAGCAGTCAAGTTTAGCCAACTAGAGGAACGCTTCCAGGTCTTTGAGACAGATATTGTGAACATCATTAGCAACATCAGCTACACAGCGCATCACCTGAGGACGCTGACCAGCAACCTGAATGAAGTCAGGACCGCTTGCACAGACACCCTAACCAGACACACTGATGACCTGACTTCCTTGAATAACACACTAGTCAACATCCGTTTGGATTCTGTTTCCCTCAGGCTGCAGCAAGACATGATGAGAGCAAGGTTAGACACTGAAGTGGCCAATTTATCAGTGATTATGGAAGAGATGAAGCTGGTTGACTCTAAGCATGGTCAGCTCATCAAGAATTTTACAATTCTACAAGGTAATCATAAAGTCTGTATTTGGATTTGTATTGATTATCTATTGCTATAAAACAAATCATTCTAAAATATGCCAATTTAAAACAAACATGTTATATAATAGGTTTTATGGTTTGGGAATTCAGAAGCAGTTTCATAGATGGGTCCTTACTGGCGCGCGCGTGTGTGTGTGTGTGTGTGTGTGTGTGTGTGTGTGTGTGTGTGTGTATCTGTCTGTCTGTGTCTGTGTGTGTATCTGTCTGTGTCTGTGTGTGTGGTTGCAGTTAAGGTGTTAGCTGAGGCTACAGTTATCTGAAGGCTTAATGGTTGTAGGACATCCATTTCCAACATGACTTACTCACTTGGCCATTACCAAGTGAGCTTCCGAGGTATTGTTACAACAGGGCAGCTAGTAGCCTCCAAAGTAGGGGATCCAAAGGAGAGAGAACAGTGAAAACCACTTTGTAACTTCACCTCAAAGGTGACACTCTTAGCAGTAGTGGTCATCTGTAATCCCAGTACTTGGATTATAGATTATATAAAATCCTCAAGCAGGAGGACTTTAAGTTCAAGGTCAGTCTGGGCTGCATAGCAAGACCCTTTGTCAAGGAGGAAAAAACATATTCAGATGCCTGTAATCCCAGCATTAAGGAGGCAAAGATAGGAAGATCAGGAGTTGAAGGTCCGTAATTCTTGTCCACATAAAGAAGTTGAAGCTAGGGGCTGGAGAGATGACTAAGCAGTTAAGAGCACTGACTGCTCTTCCAGAGGCCCTGGGTTCAATTCCCGACAACCACATGGTGGCTCACAACCATCTATAATGTGATCTGATGCCCTTTTCTGGCATGCATGTGTACATGCAGCTAGAGCACTCGTACACAAAATAAAAACATAAATCTTTAAAAAGAAGAAGTTGAAGCTAGCCTGGGTTGCGTGACACCCTATTCCATCGTATTCTGTTTTTGAGCTAAAAGTCACCAGAAAGAGGAGAACTAAGCTCCACGTCTTGAAGAATGGTTTAAAGATGTGTGATTAAATAGTTTGCTGACTAAAGATTGGTTTTAAATTTTCTCGGTATCTGAGCTGTTTCAATACCTATGCATGTTGAGATCCTGTGAAAGCACAGTTAATTCATGTAGGTCTTAAGGTTGCCACAAAGGGATTTCTATGGACACATTTTACCAGTAGGATAGTTGGCCATCACAATAACTGTGAGTTCAGAGAAGATGACTGGCATAGAAAGTGAGCTTTACTGTCATCCGGAGCATCTGTGCTCTTGAAACACTGTCTTGGATTCAGATTTACTTTCAACAAAAAACTGCCATGGTAGGTTTTAAGACACAGGAATTACTGGATGCTCTGCTCCGCTATCCAGGACATAGAAAGATGGCTGAATAGATGCTTACCTTTTGGTAGTTAAACCTTGAGAGAATTTTAAAGCCTCCAAAAATGGGGGACAAGTAATCATTCTTGATTTTCAGAAGGGAAATAAAAGGTGGAGTTAACACACTGTATTTAGTGGGGGATTTGCCTTCAACCCTGGGAACATTTTAAGAAGGGATTAGAGAGCGATAATTTGTGAGCTTTCAGGAAAGTTGCTGTCACAACAAGTTCGCCAAAAAGGAGGCAGGTAACCTAAATTTCTTTCTTTACAACAGTTACAGAGCTCTTAGATTAATTAAACTTGGAGAATGAAAACAACATGTCTGGGTTTCACCAAACCATAGGACATTGATACTATTAAAAACAATGTAAAAAAAAAAAAAAAGAAAAAAAGAAGAAGAAGAAGAAGGTGGATTGCAACACAGTTGGATGGATACATGGATGGTAATAGTTTTCTGGGTACATACTTATGTGAGGTAAAACCAAATACATTTTTATCTCGGTTTCTGTCAGCCAGAGCCCAGCAGTGCTGATGGGCTGTTCAGGGACTTCAGGAAGCTGCCGGTTCCCCAAGGAGTTGTGGGTTCGTCAGAACTTGTTCTGGGGAGGCGTATACTTCCATATTTTCCTGTTGCCTCAAGCTCTTCGCACAGTTGGTTGTCTGGAACCTAAGGGTTTTTATCTGAGGAATATCTTCAGCTCTCGGAGGCTGCTCAGTTCTTGGTCAGGCAGCCATGTCACAATAGCTCAGTTTCTGCAAAGCCAGCAAGACACCTGTCTCTGTCTAGCCGGCCAGGGTGGAGCCTTGAATGGCTGGTAAAGCTATCACTCAGCGTCCTGCTGTTGGTTTCGTACATTTTGGGGGCTTGTGATAGCCATCTGGGGACCTTGGTAACTTAGACTCTCAAGGCTGAGAACCCCACTCTGCCTTGACATTTAGCTGCCTTTCCATCATTCTGAAGGCAATCTCAGTTGCACTTCTGCATGACCATCCACATAGCTCCACAGGACGATGTTCTTGGCTTTAGCTCCAGGTTGTTGAATGCATACTCGTACTTTCCCAGCTTACATGGAGGGTAAGAATGGTAACATTTAATTTTTGTTTATGTGTGTATGTGTGGACCTGCATACAGGCACACGTGTGGCACGGCTCACACGGGGAGGTCGAAGAATGACTTTCAGGGGCCCCTTCTTGCTCTCTGGCCTGGGGAAGCAGGCTTTCCCTTGTTTCTGCTGCTGCTGTGCTGTGACTGGCCCGCATGGTAATGAGCCTCTAGGTGATGGGCCCGCCTCCCTGCCCCTGAGCTGGCTGCATGAAAGCTGTGACTGCAGATGCGAGCCACTGCAGCTGCCTTTTGACATGAGTTCCAGGGGTCACACTTGGGTCGTCGGACTTGCACAGCTAGCACCTTTATCTGCTGAGCCATCTCCCCGGCCCCTTGTTTCATTTTATTTTGACTTCGCAGCCACCCAATAAAAGACTCAAGTAGGACCAGAAGCCCTGAGACAATCCAGAGGCTAACCAGTGACAATCTTGGGTCCAAGAGGAAAATATCCCCTGAGTCAATCCAGGGCTGGCTTTTAAGATGGCCGTGGCTCTTTCCATCAAAGTTTTTTTAAATAAAGAGAAAAGTAAAAGTTGCATCTTCTAGTGAGCAGCGTACATCATGGGACTCCTGCTGCCCCAGCATCTTGATGGAGCAAGCACCTGCTTGTCGGTGGCTTTTGCAAGGTGAAGGCAGCTGTGAGTGAGGACATCAACATTACGTGCCTGTCGGTTTATGCATAGTCAGAGATGTTGAGCCTAAGCTTGCTGTGAGACCGTGTGGTGGGTAAGCGCAGGGCTTTACAGGACAGCTGGAAATCCACTGAAAGTTAGGTTCTCATTAAAGGCAAAAGCTTGCACCACGCCCCCATACCTGCCCCTTCCGGTTGTGTGACTTAGAAATTAGCATCTGCTAGTGTTTCATGCTTCCTCTGCCCCCATGTTTGATGTCCTCCTTCACACGGCCTTCAGTGGCCGTGTCTGTCTGTGCCTGTGTGCGCACGAAGTGAGGGTATTCAGCCGGTTCCAGTTGGGGTGAGGATCAGCTAGATCCTATGAACTAGCCTATCCAGAAATAAGCTGCCACCCTAAATGAGGGAGGTAGATTTGGGTCTGAGAGGGGAACTGTGTGTGAGAGGCCTGAGAATGCAGCAGGAAGTCTAATTGCGTGGGGAGACCGGCCCTGCAGAGCAGATAAACTCACTTCCTGAAGCTTGCAGGAGAGCATCGCCCCCTGGTGTGACGAGTTGAGAAGCTAATTGTTAGCTGAAGGTTTAGAGAGTAAGGGTTAAGAGGTGCTAACATGACTGGATTTTCTAACGGATTTTAATTTGGTGGATTTCCTGAGGCCTACCTTACCCTGAATGAGGCACACAGTTGAGAAGTTACATGTTTTTATGTGCCTGTTTCAGTAGAGCTTTGCAGAATGATACCCTCATCACAGGGCACTGTCATGGGAGCTTCCCTGCCTTAGCCTGTATGACAGACACCATTTTGCAGTGACACAGGCACTAACTCACTTCAAGGAGATCACATATGGCATAGAAGGTCTTCCCTGTTCGTTCCTGAGTGACGTGGGTTGGACAGTGCTTTCCCTCAGATTAAAGAGAAAACTCAGATTGCAGATGAGACCAATGGGACCCATTCTTCAGTGCCATTAGAGTCCCATGCTAGGCTTTTGACAGTGAGGCACATGCATTTGATAAACACTAGACGAGGCGAAGTTGAGGTGGTCTCAGCAAGCAAACGAAAGGGGAAATGCTGGCGACAAACACAGCAGTGCTGGTGTCAGCCTGGACCCCACCAGTGAGCACCACTGAGTTCCTGACCAGTGCGGACGGGAAAGGGAGGGTTATTAAACAGAAAAATAAACCAAGACATCACTGTACTGCTTTGCACAGACTTAAACCGGCTGAAACAACAAAATGTCTTTCCTTGCAGCTCTGGAGTTCAGAAGTCAAGGTCTTGGCCAGGTTGATTTCTTCCGGGATCTATCTCCTCCTTGTGTCTCCACCTGTTTCTCCCTCTGTGTCCTGATCTTTTTGTTTGTGTAGGCATGTGGGTGGTACATGTGTGTGATTCACATGTGCAGGAGCAGCATGCATAGCCATGTACACACATGGAGGCCAGAGGAAGATGTTGGGTGAAGTGCTACTCACTCCCTTTTTCCTTGAGGCCAGCAGTGCATTATAAATAGTAAGCACTCCTTAATGCCTATGTTTGTGTGCTAGGTTTTTGTTTTGTTTTTAAGTTGTAGGCTATATAAGTAGATATGCACTCACAACAGACTTCATACATGTTTTTATGTTTTAGGTCCTCCTGGCCCCAGGGGTCCAAAAGGTGACAGAGGATCTCAGGGACCACCTGGTCCAACTGGCAACAAGGGACAAAAAGGAGAGAAGGGAGAGCCTGGTCCACCCGGCCCTGCAGGCGAGAGGGGCCCAGTTGGGCCAGCAGGGCCCCCCGGAGAGCGTGGCAGCAAAGGATCCAAAGGCTCACAGGGTCCCAAAGGATCCCGTGGGTCCCCAGGGAAGCCTGGCCCTCAAGGGCCTAGTGGGGACCCAGGTCCAGCAGGTCCACCGGGCAAGGATGGACTCCCTGGCCCTCAGGGCCCTCCTGGCTTCCAGGGACTGCAGGGCACTGTGGGCGAGCCTGGAGTACCTGGGCCTCGCGGACTGCCAGGCTTGCCAGGGGTGCCAGGCATGCCCGGGCCCAAGGGACCACCCGGCCCCCCCGGACCCTCAGGAGCAATAGAGCCATTAGCCCTGCAGAATGAGCCAACCCCAGCATCAGAGATCAACGGTAAGTCCAAATCGCCCTTTTAGCCAGAACTGAGGACAAACAGGGCAGTGTGTGCACTTGGCTGAACCAACCCTGAGTGTTGGTTACACTAGCAGCAGAGGGCCTCTGTGTCCCCTTGATGCCTCAGTGCTGTCACTCAGGACCCTGTGCTCCTGCTCAAACATTATCAGGTCTCATTTAGCTGAGCCAGGCCCTCAGAAGACACATTCCCCCCAAACACGTCCTTCAGGGCACCCTGCACCGGCTGCTCCCTGACCAGCCATCCTTCCTCGTCGCTCTGCTTTCTCCCTAGAAGCAGACCGTTCCAGCAGTTAACTCCACCAGGGAGTTAACTCCACCAGGGAGCACTTGTTTACAGGCTCCTGATCCGGGCCAGCAGTGAGCATCAGGGCCCACTCCGCTTTCTTCCTTCTGTCATGACAAAGCCTGACCCTAACCCAGTCACACCTCTCCAGGTTGTGTGGTTTTACTGCTGTGTACTCTGCAGACCACATCTGTGAACACCTGTCCAGGTTCTGCACAGGGACACTCGGGCTTCCTTTGGCATAAAAGTGGTGCAAGGTTGTCATTTTGGTTTCTTAAACACAGCTGAGGAAATGCAGGTTGTTTTCTGGTTTTTGTTTGTTAGTTTTTTAATCAACATTTAAAAACTTTGCATTCCTAGGCTGTCCGCCTCGCTGGAAGAACTTCACGGACAAATGCTACTATTTCTCGGTGGAGAAAGAAATTTTTGAGGATGCCAAGCTTTTCTGTGAAGACAAGTCTTCTCATCTCGTGTTCATAAACTCAAGAGAGGAGCAGGTATGGTCAGCTGCGTACTTGGCTGGAGAAAACTATAATTTAGAGGCCGGTTATACCTGGAAATTGCATGCTTTGGGGGCGTCAAGGAGATTTAAAAAAAAAAAAAAAAGCATGGTGTCATAAACAAGGAAGGCTGCAGTTTTCAGACACAAGCTTTATCCTGGGACTACAGCGTATGAATTGTGCTTAGGGCCACGGATATAAAGCGCTCCCTGGTGGCTTTCTGGAGAATTGCAGCGCAGCAGAGCAGGCTGATGGTGATCTTCACCCTGAAATCTGGTTCTGTAGTATCTGAGCAGGAAGCATACCAAAGCGGCAGTCTTTGGTACATCGCTTCCGGTAGAGGCTCACGGATGCGTGGTTGCTGGGAAACGGAGCCCACAGCAGACGTTCCTAAGGACTTTACTGTTATTTCTTAATCTCGGCCGAAAAGGTCAAAGACCCTGAACCAGTGTCCACAACCAGTGTCCATGCAATACAAAGTGGACAGCTCGGACCCCCAAAAACTCTGAGAAGTGTCCTTTGTCGGTTTTATGAAGCAAACAGGACCTCTTTTGTGTGGGCTAATAATGAGCACACCCCCTGGCTTCCCTTCCAGCAATGGATAAAAAGGCAGACGGTGGGGAGAGAGAGCCAGTGGATCGGCCTCACAGACTCCGAGCGCGAAAGCGAGTGGAAGTGGCTGGACGGGACGCCTGTTGATTACCAGTAAGTAGAGCGGTCCAGACCGCGGGCGCATGCTCAGTCTGGCCCGGTTGCCTCCCAGCTTCTCCCGTAACAACCTGGCGCCGTAGACCATCCTCCTGCGGGCCGAGGCTCCTGGTACTAGTTGCCTATTCCAGTGGGGAAGCAGTGGTGGGCAGTCACGGTGCTGTCAGGCAGGTCACTTCTGAACAAAGCGTGGGCTTTAAGTACTGTGAGGAAGGATTCAAAGCCCAGAGCCTCTCCAGGTGGTCAGTGTTCACCCTGAACACTGGGCTGAGGACCAGTGGCTGAGGAGCAGTCCAGTTGTGCACGCCAAGGTTTTGGATTATCTCATATACAGGAAATCCAAGTGTACTGCACAGTGGGTCCCAGAATAGCCATCCTCTACAGCATAAAAGATGAGTAAATTCTGCCAACTCAAGTTTCTCCTCTTTTCCCAAACCCTCCCTGACTTCTGGAGAATACGTGGATAACTTCTAAATCCCACCTCTGAGGGACCGTCAGTTTGCTGGCAACAAAGAAGCCAGGCACATCGGCAGCATATGACAGGAAGCTGCTATCCCATGGGGGAGGGATGTTTCCAGTTTGAGGTAGTCTCCAGGCACTGAGGTAAGATGCAAGTCACCCAGGGGCCGAGGTGATGGACAGAAACGCCAGTCCGGGGTTTCCCTACATATGCGATCCCCACTGGCCCGGAACTTTCAGTCTTCTGCCTTCAGTGCTGGGCAGTTCTGTACTTTTAAACCCTCCATGTGAAGAACGTGATGAGAGAAGGTAGGTAGAATCAGAAGGCCCTCTCTGAGGAAAAACCAACTGTGGACAGATACTGAAGGATCTTCGCTTTGCCCCGGAGCCGTGTAGGTACGCCGTGCTGGCCTCCTGGCCTGCCGAGTGCTGGATCTGCTCTTTCCTTACTGCCTGTGAGGGACTCGAGGAAGCACCCGGGATGGTTGTAAGCCAGGAGCTGTGATTTGGAGGAAGGAGGCAGGGTTAGTAAAGAAAAGGCAAGCCTGTCAATCAAGAGAGCCAGGGTATCTATATGGGAGTCAAGAGGAACCAGGAAAATGTCATCTCCCACTTTTCTCGCTGCTGTAAATGGAAAGAAAGTTTTGGGTTTGACTTAGAAATTCAGTCTTAACCTTTATTAGCCTCCTGTGGGATTGCTTGAGCTGGAATGTTACTAAGTACACCAGCTCTCAAAGGTGAACTTTGCCCCTTTCCCTGGGACCCAGGAATTGTGTGACAGGGGAGGGAGGCAGGAGAATTGGTTCCTCGTCCCTGAGAGGGGTGACATCACACACCTTACTGGGATTTTTGTCACCGGCCGCAGCCATCCTGGAGGCCCCTGTAAGCTTAGGCTCTGCACCTGAGCCACCACGCAGACCGTGTTGTCTCGTGTTTTACCCAAAGAGAGACAGATACATGGGAAACTCCCCAGGACCACATTCTAAAAGCAAGAATAAATTAGGTCAACGTTGTATGTGAGCTCAATGGCCGACGGCTAACTTAGTTTGACATACCATAATAAACACTGCACAAACTAGAAAAAGAGCCAGTACCATCCAGGGGATGGAGTGCAGACTTCAGACTTGAATGAGGACTGGATCCAGGCCTGGACCTGATGCCATTATGTGTTGCTCAGTCACATGAAACCTCCATGTCCCCGTGAGGTAAAATAAGGTTAACAAAAAGACTCTGTTACTACTTCCACACATGTGCATGCGGAGAAAGAGAAGGGACTCAGGGTAGCTCATGTCCCCCGGGAAGCACTGGGGAGACCCCACGGGTTGGGGTGTTGGCGTGATCACTGTTGTCACCACTGTGACCGTTAGCACAGTAAAATGATACTGAGTTGGGGAATATTACTCCCCAGAATTTGTAGTTTGTAGGATCTTAATTAGAGACACAGACACAATCTTACAAGAAGTTGGCGAAGAAGCCAAATATATTCTGTGTCGTGGCTTAGGGATGAAACAGGCTTCATCACCTGAGGGGCCTCCCAGATAGAGAACCCAAAATATTTCCCCAGATTCTCAGATCAGCTTTGCCCTCTTTTGATTCTGAGGCCTCCTCCTCTGCCTCTCTGATTCATTCTGTTATTTACACTGATACGTGGTTCAGGAAGGCAGGGCACACAGATTTAAAAAAAAAGCTGAGGTGAAAGAGAAGCAATGCCAGCCACTCAGGGCACAGTCAGACCTGACTGGTGTATTCTTCATAGACACACTGACTCACAGAGCCATTCACATCACCAGACTAAAGGAGGTCAGGACCAGCTAGGGAAAGGGAGTGTGTAAGACGCCCTGGGCTGGGGCCATGGCCAGGTCCTCATGTGCATAAGCCTATATACCAGTGTGATTTCAACATAAACACTGGAGGACTACGTAGAGTTCTGGACATGCCGGTGGAAGACGAGGTTTTAAAATAATAATAATAATAATATAATCCTTTCAGAGCAAAGACAACTCCCTACCTTACACACAGCACCTTTGTTTCTCTCGTGTTACCACAACCCTGTGACTTCATTTATATCTGGTAGCAAAACCCTGACTAGATCAGGATCCATCCACAGTCACATGACAGCAGTGACTATCCCGAGGTGTTCACAGGGAAGTGATAGCTGGGGCATGATGATAGGAGTATGAGTGAGGGGTGTTCTCCTTGCTCGAACAAATAAACTACACGATGGGCCATAAAACAAGTCTCAATAAGTTCTAAAGAACTAGGATTACACTCTGGAAATCAAACTGGCACTTTCTCAGACAACTAGGAATAGCGCTTCCTCAAGATCCAGCCATACCACTCCTAGGCATATATCCAAAAGTGGCTCAAGTACACAAAAAGGACATTTGCTCAGCAATGTTTGTAGCAGCTTTATTTGTAATAGCCAGAAGCTGGAAACAACCCAGATGCCCCTCAACTGAAGAATGGATGCAGAAATTGTGGTACATCTATACAATGGAATATTACTCAGCAATGAAAAATAAGGAAATCATGAAATTTGCAGGTAAATGGTGGGACCTGGAAAGGATCATCCTGCATGAGTTGTCCCAGAAGCAAAAAGACACACATGGTATATACTCACTCATATAGACATACAACATAGGACAAACCCACTAAAATCTGTGCATCTAAAGAAACTAAGCAAGAGAGAGGACCCTAACTAAAACGCTCAATCCCCATCCTGAAAGGCAAAGAGGATGGACATCAGAAGAAGAAGAAGACGGGAAACAACCTAGGAACCTGCTACAGAGGGCCTCTGAAAGCCAGAAGAAGAAAACAGGAAACAAACTAGGAACCTGACACAGAGGGCCTCTGAAAGCCTCTGCCCTGCAGACTATCAAAGCAGATGCTGAGCCTGATGGCCAACTGTCGGGCAGAGTGAATGGAATTTTATGTAAGAAGTGGGAAATAGTAAGAGCTGGAGAGGACAGGAACTCCACAAGGAGAGCAACAGAACAAGAAAATTTGAACACAGGGGTCTTCCCAGAGACTCATACTCCAACCAAGGACTATTCATGGAGATAACCTAGAACCCCTGCACAGATGTAGCCCATGGCAGTTCAGTGTCCAAGTGGGTTACATAGTAATGGGAAGAGGGACTGCCTCTGACATAATCTGATTGGCCTGCTCTTTGATCACCTCCCCCTGAGGGGGGAGCAGCCTTACCAGGCCACAGAAGAGGACAATGCAGCCACTTTTGATGAGAACTGATAGACTAAGATCAGAAAGAAGGAGAGGAGGACCTCCCCTATCAGTGGACTTGGGGAGGGGCATGCATGCAGAAAGGGGAGGGAGGGTGGGATCGGGAGGGGAGGAGGGAGGGGCTTATGGGGGGGTACCAAATGAATAAAGTGTAATTAATAAAAAATAAAGTTAAAAAAAAGAACTAGGATAGAAAGATGTCCTGCAGCCCCAACAAGTAATAATTAAAGATCTATAAAGTATTTGAAAATTAAATAATTCAGACCAAAGAATAAGTAGAAGAAAGGGAATAGAAAAAAAACAAAACAAAACAGGAAAGCAGCAACATGGGAACCATCAGAAATGACGGAGAAGCCAGGGCCATAGCAATTCTTAGAGGAGTAATTGCAGATGTGGCATCTGGCCAGTGGTCGCTGTTATCAAGCTGAGGCTGCCGGGGAAACCAGATTCACACGGGACTGAGCAAGGCTCTGCCCACTCTGCCGAAGTTGCCTTCCGAGTCTGCCAAAAACCCCTGTATATTCTCTTCCCCTCTCTCCTTTCCACCAGATACCAACTGGTAGAAATGTGATAACACATTTCACATAATTGCTCTTATTTTTATGTTACAAAGATAAAATGGGTTGGTGTCCTGTTCAGGTCTCTGGGGACCAGAAGGGGCTCTTCAGTTTCTACTGCTTCCACAATAGCCCATGCGACTCAACACTTCGTGTTCCTGCCAGGGTGGCACTGGCCCAGGCCACAAGAGAGGAATCTTCCACAACAGGCCCACGTAGTGGAGAACATCTTGCTTCAAGAGACATTTCTCGCCAGTAACATTTTCCTATTTGGAAGCCAGGCCGTTACAAACAGAAGCTTCTAGGCTATAGTCTTGGTTAAACTTGTGGTTGATGAAAAAATATTAAATTGTGATATTTGAAGGATCTATTCCCAAGATAGTGTGTGCTCTGCTGTCATTAGGATGAGCCCCAAATCCTGGGGTGCTCTTCTCCCCATAGCTCATGTTTTGTGAGTTTGCAAGTCACTACAGCTGTCTGTTCAGTGTTCCCACAGTCTCTGGGGTGCTCGGAAGCACTGTGTCGCTGTCATGTATGTGTTATAAAATGGCCAAGCTTAAGCTATTCCTTCTTGAGTCTACCTGTGAATGCAGTCAAGGTTCTGTTCTCTGCTACAAGCATAGAGAGGGGTTTGCCACAGTTGTTCTGCGGGATTTTAGCTTTTCCAGAGATGCTTTGACATCCCGGTTCTCACTCTGCAGGCCTCACTCCAGCCCAAGCTGGCTATCTTTGTCACCTCTGCACCAGAGCGTGTGCTGCCTTTAGTCAGGAAACCCTTGAGTACTCTGCAGCAAGAATTATAGTGACTTGGGAAAAGGTTCACTTTTTGTTTAATCAGCAAGTCCTTAACTGTATAACTTTAAATGACTTAAAAGAAAATGCAAAAGAATCATATTAAGCAGGCCCTCTGAATTTAAATAAACTGTGTGTGTGTGTGTGTGTGTGTGTGTGTGTGTGTGTGTGTGTAATATATACGGCTCTGTGTATGTGTGTGTACATACAGTTTTTACAATTAACTGAGAAATCAAGAATATCAAATGCATATTATACATTGGGATTCAGAGAGATCGAGTTATAGAAATAAAATCAGAATCCTTCCCTTTCACCATTACCATTAGACACAAACAAAATGTATGTTGTTGAAAACAAGCTCCTTGGGCACCCTGCCCTTTGCAGAGGTGGCCTGCACGGCAGATGGGAACGTACAAGAGAGCATCCATGAAAGGAAGCTCCTTTTCTTGCCAAGCCCACCTTCTTTTTGGTACCACTGACACACTGAGTCTTGATTCATCCTCAAGTCCATTGTGTAAGTTCCATGAGAACAGAAACTTTGTTCTGTGCTCCTGTTCCATTGCCCATATTAGACCCGGTTCATAGTACATTGTTATGAGGATCGGTGGACTGAGTGAATGTTTTCTAATTCTTACCTATAGTTTCCTCTCATCAGTGGATGGCTTCTTCGAAATTATCTTTGCATTAGATCTCACTGGGGTCACGATTTTTGTCAGGCCCCCACATGTTTGCACTTAACTGAGCATTACTGAGATTTTGCTATCCTACTGTTTGACTTTAATCATCTCTTCTTTCCCACTGCTCTCTGTCTTGATGATCTCGTCAAAAGATGGAAGGTAATGTGAGTTCTCATTTCTGGTGGCCCTCAGACACCCTGTAGCTCCTGGGGTAATGAGTACTTGGAAGTTTTAGGGAACCTTTTTTAAGAAGAGTTTGTCTCCTTAAGCAGAAACCACAAGCATGAACTTGCCTCTTAAGAAGGACCTTCCAGAATAGAGTCTGGAGTCATACCTACCTTACTGCATGGAAACAGAACCAAGAACTATAAAAGTCAGGGGAAGTCCGGCTAGGAGCAGCAGCATCCAAGTTAAGGGGCCTGAGGTGAACACATCCTAAAGAAAACTTTCTCAGCTTGAGTTACAGCTGCTCAGGAAGCTGAGGGGAAATGATCACAAGTTAAGTAAAGGCTAGCATGGACTACAGAATGAATTCAAAGCCAGACTGGGCAATGTAATGAGACCTCGTCTCAAAACAAAAAGTAAAAAGAGGGCTTGACATGGATATAGGCAGAGGAGGACTCGCCTAGCATGCACAATGTCTTTGTTCAGTTCTCAGGACTGCCTAACCCCCCTTCACACACAGAAACACACACACACTCCCCCTGGGGGGGGGGGGACTGGGGGAAAAAAAAAAACTCATAAAATTTGGTCTTAAGAATCATCTTTCTGGCCAAGCACAGTGGCACCCTTAGGAAGCAGAGGCAGGGGGATCTCTGTGAGTTTGAGGCCAGCCTGGTCTACAAAGTGAGCTCTAGGACAGCCAGGGCTACATAGAGAGACCCTGTCTTTAAAAAAATTAGAAAAGAATCCTCTTCTAGTCAGGCATGGTGGTGAATATCTTTAATCCCAGGATTTGGGAGGAGAGATAAGCAGATCTCTCTGAGTTTGAGGCCAGCCAGATCTCAAAATAAATAAATATCTTCTCTTCTGGGCTATTGGGACAGCTGACGGCTCAGTGGGTAAAGGCTTCAGCCACCAAGCCTGATGACCTGGGACCCACATGGTAGAAGGAGACACTTGATTCTCTCAAGTTGTCCTCTGACCTCCACACACACACTGTAGGTTACACACACGTGTGCACACACACACGTGAAAATAAAAGCTCTTTTCCAGAAGAGGGAGAAAAATGTTTGAGTCCTTTTCAGTAAGGTTAAATTACTATTTTCTGAAGCTGTCAGCCATGTACAGCTTGGCCAGAGCCACAACTAGTTGCTTGTGATTATGGGTTTTTGTAAATGTGTATCAAGGTACTCTCCCTTTCTCTTCCTGACCTTTTGTCATGTTAAAGACAGGACACACTGATGTCCATGGATCCCGGTGCATTCTCGCAAGAGCATACACGCATGCACATTGTGTGAGATATCCCAAGAGTGCATATTTTCTGTACACAACTCCATACATGTGCCCAAAAGGCCCCATTGCAGGCCACAACTGAAAGCCATTCCCCAACTGTGTCCCATCCATAGTGTAAAAAGGAGGCTCAGTGGTTGATCCCATATGGCAGAGAGAACGAGCCTGCAAGGACAGGCTGTCTTCAGCCCCTCTGCAAACAGCCAAATGTAGGTGTGCGCTGCTTCTAAACGAAGCATTTCGCAACAAATGGCATGCTTCGGTTTCGCGTTCTTTCATTCCGCCATTGTTCTCCTGCAAAGAGAACCTCTGCATGCTGTGGATAAGGAAAAGGATAACATCCCTTTTCTGTTTTGTTAAAAGAAACTGGAAAGCTGGACAGCCAGATAACTGGGGCAGCGGCCATGGGCCAGGAGAAGACTGTGCTGGACTGATCTACGCCGGGCAGTGGAATGACTTCCAGTGTGACGAAATCAACAACTTCATTTGCGAGAAAGAAAGGGAAGCAGGTGAGCAGCCTCGAAGCTTACTAGGGAGCTGCAGGGCACCAGTCTGTTAAACGAGGGCCAGCAAGGAGGGCTCCGAGTGCAGGCTCTCAAGCCTGAGCTATTTCTAATATTGTCCATAATTGTCCTTTAGTATACGGCAGCACTGTGGTGTCTTTGGGGCAGTACGGCCGTCCACATGCAGCCAGTTCGGCCAGTCAATCCACATATACTTAAGTGAGCATTTAGTGCAGGCCAGGCTCTGTGCTAGTTCGGTAGAGGGTTATAACCGGCCTGTCTTAAAAATGCATAAGTCAAAAACTCCTGTAGAGATTCCTTTTGACTTGACAGGAAGTTGATCTAAATCTTCATATACCATGTGACCCTCTTTAGAGCAGGGTGTCTTCCTTTTGTGGTAGCAGGTGGAAGACTGCGGAAGGAATGGGTTTCTTTCGGAGACAATGGCAATCTTTAGACCCTATAGCACAACTTTGAAAATATACTAAGGGGATTGTGGAGATGGCTCAGCAATTAAGAGTACTTGCTGCTCTTGTACAGGACCCTGGTTCAATTCCCAGCATCCACATGGAAGGTCACAAGCACCTGAAACTCCAGTTCCAGTGGATCCTCTGCTCTCTCCTGGCTTAGGCAGGCACTAGGCCTGTAGCACACAGACATACGTACAGGAAAACACTCACACACATTATATAAATAAAATTAAAAAGAAAGACATGTACTAAGGCCCACTGAAGTAAAAAAAAAAAAAATTGCATGGATAATCTGCATGATCTGTGAATTAGAGTTCAGTAAATCCATTTTGGTTAATTAGTGGTAAAGAAAAACCCAGTATACTTTGTTCACAATTTTTTTCGAACACAAATTACTCACATACACATTCAAGACATTCACTGAGTACTGCTGATGTGTCAAATAGTAGCGTGACTGCTAGGGGTCTCAAAACAAATAAGGAACACAATCTGGCTGGCTAAAGACACAAACATGGATCACTAAACATGGGATTACAGTTGATGGTGAGAATGGGTATCATGTGTTCGCCTTGTTTGCTCATGAGGGAGTTCAGCAGGGAACAGGATTCCCCAGAACTGGCCCTTCAAATGAAATAAAACTTTTACTTAATCTGAAGAAAACCTTCCCAACATTTTTCTTTGAATGTTATCTTTTGTACTCTTTCTTAGAGATTCCCTGCTTCTTGGGTTTTGTGGTGGTGATGGTGGTGGGTTTTTTTGTTTGTTTGTTTGTTTGTTTGTTTGTTTTGTTGGTTTTTCGAGGTAGGGTTTTCTCTGTTTAGCCTTGGCTGTTCTGGACTCCCTTTGTAGACCAGGCTGGCCTCAAACTCACAGAGATCCGCCTGCCTCTCCCTCCCCAACTGCTGGGATTACAGGTGTGCACCACACCCAGCAATTCTTCATGTTTTAAATTGTAAATAATTTTATTACTTAAACATAACTAATGCCCATTCTTATTTGTCTCTTTCAGTACCATCATCCACATTATAACAGAGTGTGATATAATGACAGGAACATATTTTCGGATGCCTCTGAAAGGTGAAGGAGACTCCTTTCCGATTCCATCACTTCTCACCAGCATAGGTGAGAAAAGCCCTGAAAAGCAGTTATTCAAAACAAATGGACACCTACTGTAACATAAGGACTAAGGAGTTAAAATGTTCCCCCAAGTTGATCTGTTGATTTCCAGTGTGCAAATGGACTGAATCATATAGATTTTTCTCAGCCATTAACCATACAATTTATGCAAATTATATCTTCCCAAATGTGGAATGCTCCAATCAGAAAAAAACTATCACCGTGTTATCAGTGCATTTCTAAAATCCCAAATCTAGGAAGAATATGCAGACATACAGATATATAGGCCACCTTTTAGTAATAATATGAAATATACCTAAAGAGCTTTAAACATTGTATTTTTGTACAAAATATTTGCCTTTTACAATCATTTTTCTTTTTTAAATTTTACCTATATAATACATAAAACCAAAGAAAACAATAATGGTACTAATAAAATTTCATGGAGTTTTTCTTCAGACTTAATGTGTCCAGCTGCAGTGAATTTTTTCATTTGTGGTGAGTGTGTTTGTGTGAACGTATATGCGCGCGCGCGCGCGTGTGTGTGTGTGTGTGTGTGTGTGTGTGTGTGTGTGAAAGGGATTTTCTTTAACCCTGGTTTTTCACCCATGCCCTTGTTCCCATAAATAACAACTCTGAAGCTTAAATATATTTACAGAAGTCTAGGCCAACATAGCTAGGCATGTTCCCTGACTTGCTTATAACTAATATGCCGTTTATTCTAGTCTAAGTTCTGCCATGTGGCTGGTTACCTCTGCTCAGGTTTCATTGTCTGTCCTCCTCAGGGAAGAATTTCCCATGCTCTTCACTCTGTCCCAGCATTCACTCTCTCTACCAGAACCCCTCCTCCCTCCTGTTTCCTCCCTCCTTGGCTACAAGCCAACTACATTATACCTTCGTGGGTGTGTGTGTGTGTGTGTGTGTGTGTGTGTGTGTGTGTGAGAGAGAGAGAGAGAGAGAGAGAGCAGAAGGTAGAGAGAAAGAAATTTCTTCAGAATAGCAAATGACATGAAGCATCTAGAATTACCTTTTGGTGGTAGATGAAGCTCAAGCCTGTGAGCATCATGATGGCTCATTCATATGGGGTGTGCTATGAGCGCAAGCATCAGCCACTGCCCTTAATATAAGAGGAAGTGTTGACTCGGGATGTGCTTTTGTTCTATTTTTGTGGAGCAGGGGTGATGGAGAAACATCTGTGAGGGTGGACAGAGCACCTCAATCTGGATGTTTAGAAAGCCCTGGTTTGTGGCTGATGTGTGAACAGGCTTAATGTCACCCACACCAGAGTGGACAGGGGATTATAACATTGTCCTATCAGTCAAAGGTAGCAATGATGCTTGCAGGACAGAGCCACCTACATACAGCTTGAAAAGTAGGGTTCCTAAAACATAACTCCAAGAGATGGTCTAAATGAAATGCAAAAATAAAACTTCTGGCCATTTGTTGCACTGAGCAGAGTCCTCCCTTGTAAGCCTGAAACTTGCTTGCACTTACTTGTCTTGTCACCCGAGTCTACTGTGATAACGATCAAGGGAAGAACTCGTTATAATGAGGATCTATCCAGCTACTGTTATCTCACCTCCCAAGTGTCTTCCTGTGTAGTGTCCCTACCGAACCCAAGTAAAATGATAGAACATACACAGAGTATAATCTCATACCCATGGCTCTAGAAGATCACGCTGGATTAGACAAGCTGCCAGGCTCCAGTGTTATCTGAGCCTAAATTGCTGAAGTCTGAAATTCAAGGCAGGCACTGGACTCCCAAGAAGTCCTCAAGTTCAAGAACATTTACAGACTAAATATTTCCTTTCAAGTGTTAATTAAGGTTTGTCTACTGGGGCAGGAATGTAGCTCAATAGTAGTTTACCTACACAAGACTCACCTCCCCAGCACTGCAAGGAGGAGACTTGTAATAAGGATCAAATGCCATCACTGGGAAAACTCTGCTAGCTTCTATCATGCATGAGTCGTGTGATAGTAATACTGCTATAACCACAAACACTGGCCCATAAGAATACAGGAAATTAAAAAGGTAAATTGGAAAAAACAGTCAGCAGAGTGAAAAGACAGCCTGCCAGAATGGGAGAAAATCATTTCCACCCAGACTCCAAACAAGGGCCTAAAATCTAGAATATCGTTTTTTAAAAAAAAAAAATATCTGCAAAAGGTAAAATACAAAACAAACAAAACTCCAAATTTTTCCATCAGTAAATGGGCTGATTAGCTGAACAGAGAGCTCTCAAAACATATACGCGCGCACACACACACACACACACACACACACACACACACACACACACGACCAGGAAACACTTACCTGCTAAATCAGAACAGCTTGAGTCTTTCCAGTACAGACACGATCATCTTAACACTATACACCAGAATGTTGAAAGCAGCTTCCTTCGAGCCTTCACAGCTGGTTTACAGCTGAGGCAAAGGATGCGGGTTTGTCACACAGCTGTCCCATCTCGCCTACATGCTTTCTTCTCTTGCGAAGCGTAAGCGTCCAAAGAAATGGTCACAATATAGACGTTTCAAGTGAGCTTGGAAATCCGGGATGCAACATGTTAGCCAAAAGAAAAGGAATTTAAAGTTCTAAGACATACATAACCTCTTCGGATATTAATTTCTATGCTGGACAAGGTAAGTATGTCATCTGAAGGCAAAGCCGTACTTAACAACAACAAAAAACCGTAATGGAGAAATTGAACAGGTGAACCACCTCGACGGAGACCTTAAGCCTTTAACACAGCACTCGAAAAGAATGAAATGTTGTGTTTGTATTCAGTTGTTCTTCAGTCTCAACTGTAACCAGATCTCAAAAGGTTTACTGCTCTTACAGAGCATCTGAGTTCAGCTTCAGCCCCCATATTGGTGACTCCTCAACCTCCTGTAACTTCAGATCCAAGGGACTCAGATGCCGTCTTTTAGCGTCCATGAGCACCTACCCACCTGTCATACACCACACTGATATACGCATACATATAAGTAACAATTAAAATAAATCTTTCTAAAAAAGGGTTTGTGCCTAGTCTTATTGTACGTTGTTATGCCCTGTTCCGTGGCGGTCCTTGGGAGACCCGCTCTTTTCTGAAGGGAAATGGAGAAGTGGATGGGGGCAGTGGGGAATCAGGAAATGGTAGGAGTGGGGGAAGGGGGAACTGCACTCAGAATGTATTAAAAATAAATAAAAATGAAAGAACAAAACAGGAAAGAACAAGTATATTAACAATGATGTTTGAATTTGCCAAAAGTTCACTGGATAGATGAATACCTGTCTCACAAAAATTTGCAAACTTTAATGGGTGAAATGGAAAAATCGCCTGCTACACTGTCTGGCTCCAGAGACACATGCCATGATTTTAGTCCCTTCCTTTCTTTAGAGACCTTTCAAGTGTCTGGTTGAGCTGAGGAAATAACAGGTTTTAAGTCATTCCAGACACCTAATGACATGGCCCAGGCAAGTAGATGGGCAGTTTTAGAGAGCGGTAGCTCCCATTAAAGCAGGATGGGTTCTGTGACAAGAAAAGATGGGACCTTGAGTGGAAAGCAAGGAAGAAATCTTGCTTTGTCAGAGCCAGGCTGATAATCATGGCTGGAGCCCCACCTAGGGACTTTCCATTCAGGTAATTAATACTCTGAGAAAATCAATGAATGCCTCCCCAGGCACACGGGGTAGTAAGAGAAAAACTGTAGCGAGTTGTTTACATTGTACTTGCTCACACTAGACGAGGAATCAGGAAATACGACCTATAGTCTGTTTTTATAAATAAACTTATTAAAACACAGGTTCATTTACAGGTTTATTTACCAAGCGGGAGTCTGTATTCCATAGAGTAGCCATGTTGCTGGATTAAAGTCCCTTTATGCCACATTGTTCCCACTACGATGTTTTGTGCTGGCGTAGCCCAAGGCAACAGGAACAAGAGACCTCTGAACCACGTAAAAGTATGAGCCAAAACAATCTTTTTCTTCTTACAACTCCATTAACTTGAGTATGCTGTCACAGTGACAGAGAAGTAACACACTGCTTGTAGCGGCTGCTTTTGAACCATCCCAGTAGAGTTGAGCAGTTACAAGCGACCACAGCCCACAAAGCTAACATTAGCCACAATCTATCCGATTCTGTCTATACCAAAGTTTGCCAACTTCAGGATCAACTTAAAACCTGCTCTTCTAAGGTGCTTAGAAAAGTATACATATTTTCATTTATTTTAGACTATGCAATTCCATATAGATGAAGATATTAAGTATGCATATAAAGATAATAAGTAGTATTAAGATATGGCTATCACAGTTCATCCTTCATGAAAAGAGGTGAAGCTCCCAATATTAACAGACTTGATGCTGAGTAGCAGACCCTTCAACCCAGCCCTGCTTCTAGTCTACTATCTGACAAAAATCTCCTTACAATAATACTTATAATAATGACATCAACTGGGGCTGGAGAGATGGCTCAGTGGTTAAGAGCACTGTCTGTTCTTCCAAAGGACCTGGGTTCAATTCCCAGCACCCACATGGCAGCTCACAATTGTCTGTACTGCCAATTCCAAAGGATATGACACCTTCACACATAAAATAAAAAATTAAACAAATTTTAAAAAATAATGGCATCAACTTACAACAATAATTAGGAATCCATGTGACTTGCTAACTCCTCAAGGCACCCAAAGTGATCTTAACGAACTTTAAAAACAAAATAGTTCTTGCCACAGCTGCTCTTGTGAGATCACCGCCCATAACAACAACGGTCAGTAATTGTTGGGAGCCGTTGCTCTGGCAGCTGCTTTGATATTTAAATCTCAGCGGAAAGACTGCTTTTACCAGACCTTCACTGAAGTCAGGGAAGAATTTGCAAGTCCATCTCCTTCTGTTTGTGACAGCAGGTGGGTTTGCTTGTCAAGATCACACCTCTTGTTTCACCTCCTTGTAAATTTAACCCATTATTCTGAGCTGTTTTTACTCTGGCTTAAAAGCTCTCTGTAATAAAGTCAGGCTGCTGCTGGCTGGTTGAGTCTAATCTCTCCACTGGAGCCTCTTGGAAAAGTCCCATGTGTGTTGTATGTTAGTTTGTTAATTTTAATCCTCACTCCCAACTCAAGAACCGTTCAACTCTGCTGGCGGGCTCTGGCAAATTGGTGCCCAGTCGTGGGACTTGAGATACAGAGAATCAGTGAAGGACACCTCAGTTGTTGGCAAGCTCGCATCATTAAGTAGAAAGGGCGTGGTGAGTAAATCTGAGACTAAAAATGGGACAACACATTAGGCTAGTGTTTTTTGTATGGAACTTAATTAAAGATAGTCTGTATAAGCAGCAGGAGACTGAGAAAGTTAAACTTTCAGGCTCAGAGAGAAGGAGGTTAGAAAGATGTCAGGCTTCAAGAGAAAATGATATTATACTATCAGCTCCTCCAGAGTTGTATTTTCCTCCTGATGA